GCGTCTGTACTGGCCCATAACTGGTAGAGGAGGTCCTGAAGGCAAATCGTCGGGTACAGAAGTGCACTTGTGGAAGGCATCAACACGTATTCACTTGCGTGATCAGGTGGAAGCGCTGCTGTGTTATTTTGGGATATGTTGTTGTGCGAGGCAGTGGGAAGTAGCCGGGGGCGCTGGGTACCAGTAACCATAGCTAGGCTAAGTGAGAGGGAGAGGCCGCGGTACTTGTACTCGGCCTCGATCAAGTGAAACTTGACCCATGGTGCTGGCTGTCCGTTTCCTCGGGACTTGTTGTTGCTTCGCGGCTGGACAGCAGCCACTTGATCTCCCTCACGTGACGCTTGGGTGGCTGCCGGGTCTTCCACAATGTTGTCCGATTGGACTGCAACAAACTGCTGCGGTCGCGGACCAGTTTTCACCTTCTCCACATAGGTTGGCTGCCACGTTGACTTCTCGTGTGCAGCCGCCCTGTTGGTCTTGATGATCTCCCTCGCCTTGTCAATGATTTCAGCGAAGGTTGCATATTGCCCGCGATCACCAAGTGCAAGGCTCAATGCAACACGTGACCTGTTGTAGAACTCGCGGCGCAGATGTGAAAATGGTAAGTCGAGACCCGGCGTTGCCGCGATCTTCTGCCATTTCGTGAGCCAGTCACGTGTTGCTGTGTTGCCTTGTGTCATGCCGAAGAGACGGTTGATAGCGAGTGCAGGTGTGTCGTCCACGATGAACCACTTCTTCCATAGCCGTGTTAACTCTTCCCATGAGATCTTGTCTTTCAGATCTGCGACGTCGACGCCGTGGGTGGATGCCAGGTGGTTTAACCAGGTCTGGCATCCGCCCTTTGAGTTGAGAAACAGGGCGCCGATGTACGCGTGCTTGGCGACGAACAGAATCCGAAGTTGCGTCGTAAAGCCTTCCCACCAGAGGACCGGGTCTTGATGTTGGCATCTCGTAATGCATTGTGTTGTTGCCATCCTTGTTAGGCAGCTGTAGTTGCTGAATCTCGGTCTTCAAGGTACCCAGCTGTTTGCTGATGGTGGTTGGCGCCTCGAAGGTGCTGATGTCGCCGAGTATTGCGAGGACGTGGTCGACGCGTTGCTCCAGTTGGCGGGTAGAGGGTGCACTGCTGGACTCGCCAGCCTCCGGTCTTGGTGCAACTTGCTCCAAGTCCTGCATACGGGAATCGAGTGCCCGTGCTGCATCCTCATGCCGAGCCTTGTGGTTCCGCATGGCCCGCTGCATATTCGCCAGCTCGGACTGCAGGTGGTTACAAGTGTAAACCAATCGAGTCACGAGTTTGGCTATGAATTCCTTGTGCTGCTCTTCTGGTGTCGCGTCGTTGTGCTCCTAGGATGGTTCAAAGTGCCAAAACTTGAGCCTTTCGATGCTAGTGGCTTCATGCCGCTGCAACAGATCCTCGACTTCCTTATGGCGTGCAGGGTATCTGCGTCTGCTTCGGCCTGAATCCGCTGCTTCTCAGTTGTTGCTGCTGCTTCAGCCTGTAGGCGGGCAGCCTTGGCTGCCAGCTGGCGGTGTTCCTCAGCCTCGATCAGTGCAAGTTGAGTCTGGAACCGCTGTTTGTAGTCGGCAATAGACTCGTTGGCCAGTTGGCTCGGCATGCCTAGAGTTGCGCCCGTCATGGTGGCGGGGCACTGCTGACGTGGCACTGTGACGTGGCATTGTTACTGCTGACGTGACACTGTTGTTGACGTGGCACTGCCACGTCAGCAACAGTGCCACGTCAGCAGTGCCACGTCAGCAACAGTGCCACGTCAGCAATGCCACGTCAGCAGTGCCACGTCAGTAGTGCCACGTCAGCAATGCCACGTCAACAACAGTGCCACGTCAGCAGTGCCACGTCAACAACAGTGCCACGCCAACAGTGCCACGTCAGCAGTGCCCCGCCACCATGACGGGCGCAGCTCTGGGTATGCCAGGCCAACTAGCCAACGAGTCTATTGCCGACTACAAACAGCGGTTCCAGACTCAGCTCGCACTGATCGAGGCTGAGGAACAGCGCCAACTGGCAGCCGAGGCTGCCCGCCTACAGGCTGAAGCAGCAGCAACAATTGAGAAGCAGCGGCTTCAGGCCGAAGCAGACATAGATACCCAGGCACGCCGCAAGGAAGCCCAGCATCTGCTGCAGAGGCATGAAGCCACCAGCATCGAAAGGCTCAAGTTTTGGCACTGAACCATCCGAGGAGCACAACGACGCGACACCGGAAGAGCAGCACAGGGAATTCATAGCCAAACTGGTGACTCGGTTCGTTTACACTTGTAACCACCTGCAGTCCGAGCTGACGAATATGCAGCAGGCCATGCGGAACCATAAGGCTCAGCATGAGGATGCAGCACGGGCACTCGATTCCCGTATGCAGGACTTGGAGCAAGTTGCACCAAGACGGGAGGCTGGCAAGTCCAACAGTGCACCCTCTACCCGCCAACTGGAGGAACGCGTCGACCACGTAGTCGCAATGCTCGGCGACATCAGCACCTTCGAGGCGCCAACCACCATTAGCAAACAATTGGGTACCTTGAAGACCGAGGTTCAGCAACTGCAGCTGCCTAACAAGGATGGCAACAACACAACGCATTACAAGATGCCGACATTCCAAATTGAGAAGTTCGATGACTACACGCATTAAGACCCGGTCCTCTGGTGGAAAGGCTTTACGACGCAACTTCGGATTCTGTTCGTCGCCAAGCACACGTACATCGGCGCCCTGTTTCTCAACTCAAAGGGCGGATGCCAGACCTGGTTAAGCCACCTGGCATCCACCCATGGCGTCGACGTTGCAGATCTGAAAGACAAGATCTCATGGGAAGAGTTAACACGGCTATGGAAGAAGCGGTTCATCGTGGACGACGCACCTGCACTCGCCATCAACCGTCTCTTCGGCATGACACAAGGCAACACAGCAACACGTGACTGGCTCACGGAATGGCAGAAGATCGCGGCAACGCCCGGTCTCGACTTGCCATTTTCGCATCTGCGCTGCGAGTTCTACAACAGGTCACGTGCTGCATTGAGCCTTGCACTTGGTGATCGCGAGCAATATGCAACCTTCGTTGAAATCATTGACAAGGCGAGGGAGATCATCAAGACCAACAGGGCGGCTGCACACGAGAAGTCAACGTGGTAGCCAACCTATGTGGAGAAGGTGAAAACTGGTCCGCGACCGCAGCAGTTCGCCGCAGTCCAATCGGACAACATTGTGGAAGACCCGACAACCACCCAAGCGTCACGTGAGGGAGATCAGGTGGCTCCTGTCCAGCCGCGAAGCAACAACAAGTCTCGAGGAAACGGGAAGGCGAAAACCGCATCGCCGGCCGGAAACGGACAGCCAGCACCATGGGTCAAGTTTCACTTGACCGAGGCCGAGTACAAGTACCGCGGCCGGTACGGCTGCTGCTATTGGTGCAATAGCACCAAGCACAAGACCTCCCTCTGCCAGGATAAGGGCAAGGAGTATGTTCGGCCTCGTATCAACTCGGGAAACTAAGTTCCGCGGGAGGTGAGGCGACTACACCTCCCACTCCGCCAGATTCGGCTGCCTTGCTAGCGGCCTCCTACACATCTGGGGAGGATGCGAATGCCGTAAGTTCTCGGTATGCTTACGAGGACTATGCTGTCTACTTGGTCCCACCTTTGGACCAACCGCTCCACGTGCAACAATCTACCGCATGCACGGTTTCATCACCATCGGCAACCGATTCGGCAGCTTCGCCGCCATCTACCGTCGGGGATTCAACGTCATGGTCAAGACTTGAAGAGCTTGACCCGTTGACATTTGCGGACTTCCAATGGATGCCCCTTCCTTGGTCCGGTTGATTGCCGAAACCGCATTGCAACGTGCTCATGGCACAATTGCGCGATTACTTGCACACTGCAGTACCGACTCCGTTGATGCACGTCGGAGTAGAGGTTGTCGACCTTCACGCCTACATTGCGAAGATCGACCGCGAGTTCAAGACACAATGGTACGACGACATCGACGCACCATTGTTATATGTACGCATTCAGATCGGAGAGGCGACCTGCAGCGCTTTGATCGATTGAGGAGCGTCCCGCAACTACATGAGCCAGGACTTTATGGTACGCGTCGGCCTTGGCCCACGCGTCCGGAGGAAGTCCCAGCCGACGCAAGTCACGTTGGCGGACGGTCACACGCACAAGTTAATAGACCGGTGCATTGATGACGTCCCCGTGTACTTTGCCCCGCATGCAACCGAGGCGGTGTCCTTCGATATTTTGGATACCAAATTCGACATGATCTTGGGCATATCATGGCTGCGAAGCGAGGATCACCCGGTGAACTTCTACCGCCGCACCGTTCACGTTTGTGATTGGAACGGAGTACTAGTCCCATGCACGGTAGCTCGTGCTCACCAAATTCAATCAACTGTCACGTGGTGTCCGCCGCAAGCATGCGAGCTTTCATCATCAGAGACGACATCGAGGAGATGGGGGTGTGTTTTCTCCACTCTCTCCCGCCCCATGACGCTTCATCGACGGACTCATCTTGGGACCCACGCATCACCGAGCTTCTCGACGCATACAGCGACGTGTTCGAAGGCCCGCACGGAGTAGTACCGGATCGGCCCATCCGCCACGAGATCATCCTCGAGGACGGGGCCGTACCTCCGCGCGGTTGCATCTATCGAATGAGCGAGGAAGAGTTAAGTGTGCTACGGGCACAACTCGATGACCTTCTAGAGAAAGGCGGATACGGCCTAGCTCATCGCCATACGGTGCTCCTGTTCTCTTCGTCCGGAAGAAGAACAAGGATTTGCGGTTGTGCATTGATTATCGCAAGCTCAACGCGCAAACGATCAGAAATGCCGGCCCTCTCCCACGCATCGACGACCTTCTCGAACGACTGGGTGGCGCCAAGTTCTTCTCCAAGCTGGACCTCAAGTCGGGATATTACCAACTCTAGATTCGGAAGGAGGACCGCTACAAGACCGCGTTTAAGACGCCATATGGGCATTTCGAATGGCTGGTTATGCCATTTGGCCTTACGAATGCCCCGGGCCACTTTCCAAGCGGCTATGACAACAGAGTTCCGACACATGGTGGATCGATTCGTCCTTATCTACCTCGACGACATCTTGGTCTACAACCGGAGTTTGGACGAGCATGTGGAACACCTGCGCACCGTTTTGGAGCGGCTACGACAAGCCAAGTACAAAGCCAACCGCGACAAATGCGAATTCGCGCGGCAGGAGCTCGAGTACTTGGGACATTATGTGACGCCGCAAGGCATCCGTCCGCTCGCGGACAAGATCGAGGCCCTCCGCGTATGGCCCGAGCCCACCAACACCACGGACGTCCGTTCCTTCATGGATTGGCGGGCTACTATCAACGATTCATCACCGGATACTCAAGGATTGCTGCACCTATGACGAGATTACAATCGCCAAAGGTGCCATTCGTATTCGATGACGACGCACGCCGGTCATTCCAAGCACTTAAGACGGCCATGCTCATGGCACCCGTCCTTAGCATCTATGACCCCACCCTGCCTACGAGAGTGACAACTGACGCTTTCGGCTATGGCATCGGGGCAGTCTTGGAACAACACGACGACGACGACTGGCACCGTGTGGAGTATTTCAGCCACAAAGTGCCTCCCATCAATTCGCTTGATGATGCAAGGATGAAGGAGCTGCTCGCGTTCGAGATGACTCTCAAGCGATGGCGACACTTCCTCCTTGGGCGTCGTAGGTTCACATGGGTCACGGACAGCAACCCATTGACCTACTACAAGACGCAGGATAAGGTGAGCAGCACGATCGGGCGATGGATGTACTTCATCGACCAATTTGACTTCACACCGAAACATCTTCTCGGCCTCTCCAATCGCGCAGCAGATGCACTCTCGCGAAGACCTGATCTTTGCGCTATGACACATCATGCCTTCGCATTCGTCGAGGAACTTCAGCGACACTTCATCCGGGGATATGAGTCGGATCCGGACTTCGCCACGTTATATGCGCAGCTATCTTCGGATCACTCGCCGGCCAGCCACTATCGCATTGTCGACGGGTACTTGCCCCTCCACTCGAGAGGCAAGGATTTATTGTGTGTCCCACGAGACCGTCGTCTTCGGACTCGCGTTCTCGGTGAGTATCATGACTTGCGACTCGCCGACCATTTCGGAGTCAACCGCACCATTGCGTGGCTTCGACAACGATTCCAATGGCCCGACCTCATTACCGATGTCACTCGGTATTGCGACTCTTGCGAAGTTTGCTGACGAAGCAAGCCCCGCAATCGCAACCCCTACGGCGAGTTACGCCCGATGCCTATCCCACGGGAACCCGGCCTCTCCATTGCCATGGATGTCACCGGACCATTTCCTCGCGATCGCCTCGGGCACGGCGGCATCCTCACGGTTGTGGACCGTTTGAGTAAGTATGCGCGTTTTCTCCCTTGCAAGTACTACTCCACGGCTCCTGAGCTGGCACGCCTCTTGCACACCGGTTGGATTTGTGGCTACGGTGTACCGGAAGACATAGTCAGCGACCGCGACACTCGCTTCATGTCGACATTTTGGACTGCTCTCATGCAGGAGTCCGGCACGAAGATGAAACCAAGTTCGGCTCGGCATCCACAAACGGACTGGCAAACGGAGCGGGCACATCAAACCGCTCAAATGATGCTTCGTACGCTCATCCGTCCGGACCAGAAAGATTGGGTTGACCGCCTCCCGGACATCGAGTTCGCCTAGAACACTTCGGTGCACCCGGCAATCGGCGTGACTCCATTCGAGTTGCACCACGGTGGACGGAAAGGCCGTATCTTCGCCGACCTTCTCCTCCCACGACCAGCCGACATCGACGCCGCTTGCTCTCCCGCTTCCGTCCGGAAGTACTGGGAATTGCTAGCTCAAGCCCGCGCGAATGCAAAAGGCTTAAGTCCGCATGCAGCAGCAAGCCAACAGGCGTCGCGTGCCATGTCCCATCCGCGCCGGTGATCTAGTTTGGGTTTCCGCGGACGAGTTTGCTCTGGAACAGGATGTTTCACGCAAACTGCTTCCCAAGTGGTTTGGACCATGACCCGTAACATCAGCCGCGGGCGATGAGCCCGATGGCCCTTCATTTGTGATCAACATCCCGGTGCATCTGACGGTCCATCCAGTCTTTCACGCCTCGAAGCTGGCAACATATACACCAGCTAAGAGCGACGACTTCCCAGGCTGACGATCGCAGGACCCTCCATCTATGGATGGTCATCAGGAGGTTGACCGCGTCATCACGGATCGCAAGTACGGCAACAAGCCTCGACAGTACAAAGTTACATTCAGAGCATGCAATCCCGACGACACTCGGTGGATTTCAGGAACAGATTTGAAAGCATCCGCACCGCTGGTCTACGCTCACTACGAGCGACAAAGGTTAGCTCAGGGACCTTCACGACCTGCCCCTCCCACCCGGACTGTGGTCCCTCCCTCAGACAGACAGCGTCGCCCTCGCAGGTAAGCTCGGTCTTTTAAGGAGGGGGGGGTGTGGCATACTGCGTAGCCACACAGGCCTGCAGGGCCCGTCCCACATTTCCAGCCAAAAAGCCTAGAAACAAGGGCTTACAGGCCCCTGTCGTTTCAGTCTGAAAGACTGAAAAACGAGGGCCTGCAGGCCCTATGTCGTTTCAGCCTAAAACAGGGCTTTTCAGCCCTGAGGCTTTTCAGCCTGAAACGGAGGGCCACTTTCGGGCCCTCATAAGATCGACCTACCCTAAGACTCAGGCACAAAAACAGGGTTTTGGGAACAGGCTATTTCTGGCCTGTTCCCCACGACAGCCTCAAGCAGGAGCTGCAGCGGCAGCCCCTGACTCCCCTCGGCATTGGCAAGAGCAGCCTCCTGGACTGCCTCGCCCTGCAGTCAGGAGGCACCCGAGTAGTACATAAGAAGTTCCCATGCACTTCACGGGTAGGTAGTTGGACAGTAGGCACGAGTAGTCTTCAGGATTCGGCCGGAGCACTCAGGAGGAGCGCTGCCAGGAGTAGCTTGGCGCTAGCAGTAGTCTTCAGCGCTGGGCGCTAGTAGCCATAGCAATAGTCTTCAGCGCTGGGCGCTAGTAGGTGGTAGACAGTAGAGTTGGGAGAGATGGCTGGCGGAGGCCAGCGAGACTTACCTGTGGCGCCATAGCTCCAGCTCCATCTTTGAGGTACCTGCATCAAGGCGCCAGAGAGAGAGAGAGAGAGAGAGAGAGAGA